AAAAAAAAAACACGATACTGCCCAGTCCATACAACGAATCATCTATATTAAAATTATTACATATGGAAAAAAGATCAACATCCCGTATCAATACACTGGGCAAAAATGAGGTCAGATCAAAGCGTCAAACAGACGCCAGACGAATTATACGCGAAAGGCAAATATTCGTCGAAAATGGTTCGAGGAAATCTTCCACAAATAAATTAACACTCGCTCTGATTCATTGCGTTCCTATCGAGTGAAGTACTAATGACACCAGTGGCAAGTCCAGGCATTACTGGATTGGCAGGATCAGGTTTCGCGTTTGATGCGTTTGTGATCTGGAACAATTGAGTAACTGATGCAACTTGATTTGCGCTGGTTTCCTCTAACTCGATTCTTATCCTTTTTTGACAATTATCTCAACAAAACGCTGCTTACCTCAGCGTCAACACCGGGCCAGTCACTAAATCGACCTGAGCCAATGCTTTCGTTTGCCTTAGCTGATGAGAAATCAGCCCATTCGTCGTCTCCCTCGGCCTTTTTAGGTGTGCTGGTGTCTTGCGGAAAACAAGCCCAATCCTCTCCTTCTTGAATCAAAATGAGCCCTTTTACTGCATTTGAAGTATTACATACTCACCTGAGCTGTTGTCAGCAGGTGCTTTGTCCCATTGGACCGGGAAGAAGTTTGTTGCTTCACCTTTTGAACTTTGGCTATTTCCAGGCCAATCAAATGCTGTTCCATTAGATCTTTTCATCTCTGGCCAATTGTCGCCTGCTAAAAATAGGGTTGCAAGATAAGAGTTTCAAACAGTAATAACTGAATCTTCTCAAACACCGTTCTAAATTTTTCCAAAACAAGTAACGGCGAAATGCATAAGCGAAATCCAATACAAGATTTACCTGACTGGTCGTTCTGCTCTGGCCATTCATCCAAAAGTGAACACTTTTTAGTGCTACACATGGCTTCAAATTTGCTCTCGTCCACATCATTCTCTTCCAGATCCATATCAACCTTGCATACTCGCATTGGATGGATAGAGAAGCTGAATCACCGGAATAGATTGTGAGTAGCACTTAAAGGCACCGTCCAGGCAAATCTGGACATGTGGGGACCTTACGTGGAA